ACAAAAACCTCAGAATATACAAATTTACAATGTCACAAAAACAACCAAAAAACATTAATGAATATATACATAACCGGAAAAACCCTATATAAAATTACAAATAATTTGTAACCAGCACTACCAATCATTTAGGGAAAGAAAAATAATTATACACAAACTCCACAAGAAACCACAGGAGGAAAGACTATAGTTCAACTCCTTACTCTGATGACAGCTTTTTCCTGATACCAAGATATAAAGTTTTTTTAAAAAGTTTAAGAAAAAGTACTGACCAATTTATCTCTCACTCAACATTTAAACAAAAGGCTAGGGATACTGCTCAGTGACACAGTGCCAGCTTGGCAAGTGTGAGGTCTTGAGTTTGATTCCCAGTACAAAACAAATTAAACAACCAACCAGGGCCGGCCAGATAGCTCAGCATACTAAAGTGTCTGCTTAGGCACAGTGCAGTGACTGGGGTTTGATCCCCAGTGTGCTGGCCCTGCCCCTGGGGCACGCTGAGATGGCAATTAAGACTGGGCATGGTGGTGCGGGCCTGTAATCCCAGTGCTTGGGAAGCTGAAAACAGGAAAATCACTGAGTCCAATCTACATAGTGAGACTCTGCAGACCCTGTACCAAGTACATAAAAAAATAAGTATCTCCAACAAACACTGGCAAATCAGAAAAGCAATGTGTAACATAAATAATTCATCACAACCAAACACAATTTATATTAGGAAGGCAAGGCTGTTCAACAATAAGAAATTCACCAAATTCACAATGAAGAAAAAACTATAGAATCCCAAGTTATATTGTTTTTTAAAAAAAGAAAAGAAAAAGAACTCTTAACTATGCATATATGAAAAAAACTAAGATAAAAGGAAATTTCTTTAATCTAGCACATGGCAAAATATTAACAGAAATACAATAAAAGCATTTTTTAACCTGATGAAGAATAATTTATAAACCCATCACACTTGACGACAAATTACTTTCATCCAATATTTATACTAAGGGAAGTAGGTCAGCTCACTGTTCAACACCGTGAAGCTCTGTATATTACAGTAAGGTAAGAGAAAGAAGTAGAAATGAAACTGACTTCACTTGCAAATAATGTGACTGTCCGTGCAGAAGAATCGCAAAGAATCTAAAAGTTTCTAGAATTGATGTTTAAGAACGCCACAAGGCCATTATTTAAAAACAAACAAAACAAAAAATCAAAAATTGAAATAAATCTAAGAAAAGCACCAAAAATGTAGTTATTTAAATATAAACCTAATTCTCAAATCTACAGGACAGCAATGAAAGAAATTAGAGAATGAACAAACAGGCCCTGCTTACAGAAAATGCAACACTGTTAAAATGTTCATTCTTAACACTGGATATTTCCCAGCCTATAGGTATTTGATATTTGTATGTTACTTACTATTTTCACCTACAAAAGCACCATGGAATTAGCAGTTTAAAATAATACCAAAAAAATTGTGGACCAGGGTTCTAGGCATGGCCCCAGTAGGTAAATTTTATTTTTTATAATTTTCAATCTGACCTTTTATTTTTTATTTATTTTTGGTACTGGGGATCAAAATCAGGACCTTGCACTTGCCAGGCAGGTGCTTATACCACTGAGGTGTCTATATTCCTGTTTTAAATATTATATGCAAAAAAAGTACAATGTATCTAAAGGTTTAATGTTATCAGTAAAGTTAACACTTTTAGTGCCAACATCTGTTTAACTCTTAGGCTGTTAAAGAAAAAAAAAAAGGGTGCTCCATACTAATCAGTCTAATACTTGTTCTTTTACTATATGACAAAAAATCAAAACATACCTCTATCGATGTAAAAAAAAGTTAATTCTCTCTAATTAATCTACATAGACCAAGTGCAATCCCAATGAAGGACAGTAAAAACTGAAAAACTTACTCTACAGTTTATATAAAAGTTAGGTGCAATGACACACACCTGTAGTCCAAGTCAAGCCCAATATGGACAACACAGCCAAGAGCCTCATCTCAAAAATAAATTTTAGAAATTAACCAAAACATGGCCAGAGATATAGCTCAGTGGCACAGCACCTGCCTGGCCACCACAAGGTCCTTGGTTCAATTCCCAATACTAAAAAAAAAAAAAAAAAAAAGAGTCAAACTAAGACATATGTGCATGTGCACAAAGCAAAAAAGAAAAGACTACATTTGGAAGATTCACGCTTACAATTCCTGTACTTTCAGTATGAAGTGCACCACTGTAATTCTTGCCCTAGATCCCAGGCAGGAGGATCGCTGTGGATTTCCAGGGCAGGCTGGGCTATACAATGAGTTCAAGGCCAGCCTAAACTGACCTACATAGTGAGTGCCTGTCTCACGAGAAAAAAAAAAAGGATGTCAAGAATGTATATCTATATGGTCAACTGATTTCTGATCAAGGTAGAAAGGTAAATATAAAAAGGATAATTCTTTCATCGACAAAATACTGCTAAAAATCTTAGAACACTCATGTAAAAAATATCCTTTGTCCATATCCCACGGTACACATAAAAAAAAAATACTGTGATCTTAGGTTTGGTGAAGATTTCTCAGATAAAACCAAAAGCATGACTGATAAAAAGAAACTGAACATCAAAACTTAAAGCTTATACTCCACAAGATACTGTGAAAAGAAGGAAAAGATACGCCAGATGAGGGGAAAGCATATTTACAAAGAAACACCTGCCAGAGGTCCTCTAACTGGAACAGCAGCGGCAAGCCAGGCACGTGTGCTGCAGCAGGGTGTCTTCACCAGCGAGAGCTCTAAAAGGTTCGCCATCACTGATCTAGAGGGTATAAAGAATGCTCAAGACTCCAACTTCTGAGCAGCAAAACGAACTGCTATTGAATACTGAAAAAGTAATCCACTGAACGAGAGAAAATGTTTGAAAATCACTGTTTCTGATAAGGTTTTAAATAATCTAATTTAAAACCAGCAAAAGAGTTGAACATATTTTACCAAAGAAGGTACATGCGTGACAGCATATCAAGAGATGTTTAGCACTACTAGGCTTCAGAGAAATGCAAACTAAAACTACCGAGAGATACTACTGGACATCTAGTAGCATGATGCAAACCAAGGGGAACCGGCCTGACCTCAAGTGCTGACGACAGCACTGAGCTGCACAGCTCTTCTACACTGCTCGGGGCGGGTCTGCAAGGAGGTACAGTTCGCCAGTTTCCTATAAAACTAAACAATTACCATAGATAGCCATTCCATTCTCACCCAAAATGATTGGTAAAGAAGATTTATTCATAATAAAACCAAAAATAAATGAATTACACATTCATACAGTGTAATACTACTCAGCAATAAGTAAGAAATAACCACTAATACAAGCAACATCATGGAAAAATTGCAAATGCATTAATAAAAACAAACTGTAAGTCTCAAAAAGCTACATACTATATGACATTCTGGAAAAGGCCAAAGTATAAGAACAGAAAACAGATCAGCGTGAGAGATGAGGAGTGAGGGGACAGAGTTGACTATAAATACATGCCAGGCAAAGTTTAAGGTGATGGAGATGTTCTATATTTTAACTGCTGTGCTGGTTACATGACTGTGTTTGCCAAAGCTCAGAACTGGGCTCTAGATGAACCTTACTATATGAATTATACCAATAAAAGCAAAGAAGACATTAAGAAAAATATGTTAAAATGATTACAAATCACTGTATCATAGTCATACAGTTGGAAGATTTGAAATTATTTTATATATTTAATCATACATATGATTTAAATAGTCTATCAATACAACAGGAGGACATTTTTCAACTTCATAAATTAAAACTTAAAGTTAGTACTACTGAATGGTTTTCTTTACCATTTAGTGGGACACAAAAAAGTCACGTCCAACCATTAACATCACTGTTTTTGAACAGTTTACCCATTAGCTACTATGTGCAGATTCAAATATTCATGATGTTATTAGGAGGAAGGGTCCAGGAGCATGATTCCTTCCTTGCCAATTTCCTAATAATTCATGTAAATAAAGCTGGGAGAAATAGTGCAAAGCAATATATTTAGCACCATATATGAACATTGTCTTTCTATTATATTAGGAGTCAGTTCTGTTCTGGAAGATGAAGAGAATTCTGAAAGAGAACGGTTAAAAGCTGTAAAGTATGAATTAGCCTCTTTTTAAATATGTGAGAGGGCTAGTGAGATAGCTCAGTGGACTAAATGCTTACTTAGGCAAGCACAGGGACTGGGTTTGGTCCGTAACACCACATGCTGTGCTAGACCTGCCCCTGAGCACACTGAGCTGGCCACTGAGTCTGGGCATGGTGGTGCATGCCTGTAATCCCAGCATGGGGGAGGCTGAAAACAGGAGGATAACTATGAGTTTTGAAAACAGGAGGATCACTAAGAGTTCGGGCTGCATAGTGAAACCCTGTACCAAATACACAAAAATAAAATAAAACAAATCACATGAGAAAGCAAGGCTTTACAGCAGAGGTAAGAAACACAACTAGGACTCAGATCTTCAGACACACATTTGTACTCCTACCGTATCTTTTACTAATCTTTCAACCATTTGCAACTATTTAAGCAACAGCTTAGAGTCTACACTATTACAAATGAACAAGTACTGTATCTGTCAAGATTTTAACATGTACATGGCCTAGTTTATTTTGAACCTCAAGCCTACAAAACAAATCTATATACTCAGAAGAGTTGAGACAATCTGTACTTTACATTAATGTACAGTATTAACTGATCATTCAAAATTATAAACACATCACTTTACATTCAAGTCAGGAGTAAAAATAACAAATACACAAGTAACAACCAAAAGGATACATGAAATAGTAATCACGTTAACTTTTGACCTTAATAAAGAATTTATTCCAACTCTAATTTTAAACAAAAGAATATAGAAAAATTTTCCCCTTTCTTCTGGCTTCCTGACATCTGGCTTTCCTCTATTGTTTTCAAAAACTGCCGGTATCCTGAGTTATAACACAGATTATTTACTGCAGCAGAAACTCACCCTGTGAAGCGTCACTGTGTGTTGTTCCCATATAGCTGTTTCCTCCATTGCTGTGTTCTGATAAAGCAAAACAAAAACAGATCATTTCACCTTTTCAGAAAGTTTTTAATAAAGCAACAAGCATCCATCAAAGAATGCAAGACAATACCAAAATTTATACTATAAGACTAAAGACACTCTGAAAGGAGCTTAATAATCATAGAAGGTTTTTTGGTTTGCTTTTGTTGTAAGAGACAGGAAGCTTTACACAGGCACTTCCTTTGTTTCAACTTAATTTGAACAGATGCTACTCTGTATTTGTTTCATGCCAGATGAAACTGGTACTTGAGCTAATTGGCAACTTAATCTCAGGTAGAAAATAAAATTTAGAATAGTGGTAACCAAACATTTAAAAACACTCTGTTGTGCAAAAGAAGGGAAAAGTAGAATACCTCTGTACTGTTGTTATAAACACACAGGTAACAAGAAACAGATAAAACCATATGATAATACGTTCAATGGCTGCTTTTGTGTGTCATAATTAAACACTGCTTGTTCCACTTAGTTCCAGTGCAGAATTACCTTCTCAAACTTCATGTATAACCATGCATAAAAAATGGCTTTTTTGGTGCTCATATCATGACACATATGGAAGCAGAAATATATATGAATATACATGGAATCAGGAAAAAAAAGTGGACCAAAAAAAAGTTCTCAAAAGAAGCAGAAAGTAAGGGCCAGCCAAATAACTCAGCGGATTAAAGCGCCTGCAAGCAGGACCAAGGGCAGGGGGTTCAATTCCCAGGCCTGCTGTGCTGGCCCCACCCTGAGACTGCCAGGTCCCCCATGCCACACCAGCTCTGTCTCTGGGGCACACTGAGCCCCAACAGAATCCAGGCATGGTGGCACATGCCTGTGATCCCACCGCTGGGGAGGCTGAAAACAGGAGGATCACTACGAGTCTGATCTGTGTAGTGAGACCCTGTACCAAATACACAAAAGAAGAAAAAAAGCAATAAAATAAAAAACAAAGCAATATAAGCTGCAATACATTCTTACTCAAGTGGTAGTATTGTTATGAACTCACAAGCAAAATAAATCATCTAAAAGAGGCACTAAAAAATTCAAAACATTGTAAAGTGGTTAACTGCTCTTAGAGATTTAAAATAATTCAGTCTTTCTGACAATAAAAGTGGAGCTTCTAAAATATATTTATTTGTAAGTAAATTTTACAATAAGATTTTTCAAGAGTTATCAAAGGATCAGGGGAAAACGCAGAGCATGACCTTCTTAGAACATCCCTTGTGACCTATCATTACAAATGCTTATTTCGCAACCGCGATCTACTTTCTGTTACACTGCCGCCACCAGCGTCATGAGCCCATACCCGCCAAGGCGCCATGGCCCATTGCTCCTTCCCCACAGCAACTTTAATTCAAGATTAATGTTACTTTAAAAATGAATCCCTATTAAAAAAGGCCTGCTTCCCTAAATTCAAAGCAACTAGATGAACTTTCCTGTCAGATGCTTACGAGAAGAGAAAGGATTTCAGAGATCCTTTGTTCACTCCAAGTAAAAACTATCAACCTCAACAGCATCGTTCAATCTTCCAATCAAGTGCGACAAAACCTCCCTTTAATGAAACCTCCACTAGAAATAGAGCTGTTTTTTTATTTTTTAACAAAAATTGACCAGAATTCGATGAATTTCAAAAACTCCATCAGTGTGAACCCCTGATGTTATAAATATATCTACTAAACATTACTATTTCCATTGAAATATATGTAACAAACATATCTGGAATAACCGCCCCTCTGCCGATCCCAACTGATGCTGGGAATGAGAACTGTTTAGCATAGCTTGAAGGGGGTCTTTCCTAGGTACACTTTGTTAACCAAGAACATGGCCGCTCTTCCTCTTCAGCCTCTTTCCTATCAGTCCAAACTGCAAGTGGTAAATCTATCATCCTCCACACGGTTTTAATGACCACCTAGTTCATTTAATGTCAGGGAAGGAAGGCAGGTCATGAAACACCTTGTATACTGTCCTTCCATTTCCATTTAAACATGAGCAGGGAAAAAAAGGCTGAAAGGGCACACAAATGTTAACGTTAATCATCTTCGAAGTAAAGGGTCTGGAGAGACATCTTGTCCATCAAGTGTTCTTTTTGCGTCCTTTGTCCCTTCCTACTTAACCTGGTAATGCATTTCTAATTACATTCACCAAACCTCCTAAATGAAATTTCAAATAATGTCCACTTTTAACTACGCTTTTAGGGGGGGGAAAAAAAACAAATGTTTAAGGGAATTATGTCTTAATGTTTTTTAAAAAATTTATTTATTTTACTACTAACTAGTATAGGAGCTATACATTAAAGTCTCAATGTATATTCTCCATGAGAAAGGTAACTTATTTTTTGTATGAGAAAGGAAAAAATCAAAATGTAACTGCCCTCTCATTCCACATCAAAATTAATATGGTCTTTCTTGGGTGGAGTAGGAAAGTACACATCTCAACTAACTCAATGGCCTCTTCAAGGGCCATGTGCCCGGGGCCTGCTGAGCCTGCGACAGGGTCTCTTCAAGGGCCAGCAAGACAGTTCAGCAGACTAAAGCAAATGCAGTAGTGACGGAGGTTCAATCCCTGGTACCACATGCAGCGCTGGCGCTGCCTCTCGGAGGGTGCACTGAGCCATGGAAGACTGGGCATGGTGGTGCACGCCTACAATCCCAGTGCTGGGGAGGCCAAAAACAGAAGGATCACTATGAGTCTGAGCTGCATTGTGAGACCCTGGACTAAATACATTAAAAAAAAAAAAAAAAAGACTCAATGGCCTCTTCAAAAGGGTGCTGATGCAGCTCAATTTTATTAGCTTGATTTACATGAAAGGAGACATGTACAAGAAGGTAACAGAGCATGAAATATCAAAAGGAGTGGTAAGCTAGCCTCTTGATGATAACAGAAAACCAATTTAATCTGTAATGAATTTCTATGCTATACCACACAGTAAGACAGAGAGAGACAGAGACAGGGACAGAGACACAGAGAGAGACAGAGACAGAGACACAGAGAGACAGACAGATGGACAGACAGACGGACAGACAGACAGAGACAGAGAGGTATATTCTCCATTTAAATCACCACCCATGTCATTCTTAACCAGTTTTTTGAAAAATGTATTTAGTATTGGTTCTACAGGGTCTTACTACATAGATCGGACTCGATGTGATCCTGTTTTCAGCCTCCCAAGCACTGGGATTATAGGCACACGCCACGACGCCAGTCTCAATGCCCTGTCTCAGTGCACCCAGGGGGCGGGAGTAGCACAGCACACTGGGGATCAAACCTCAGGTCCCTGAGGGTTCGATCCCCACTTTAATCCACTGAGATATCTGGCCAGTCCTCCTATCCAGTTCTTACCCTACCCCCATTTGATTTAGCAGCAAAAGCAGACAATTCTACACATGACTGTTTGTATAACCAGGTAATTCTAATGAGTTGTTCCAACTGAATTTAGGATATACAGGTGGATAAATACATAGATGGGTGATGACACAAATACAGTAAAATCACGGTGATAGAATTTCAGTGGTCAAGATTCAGGAATCCACTTCAAAATTCTTCAATTTTATTTTGTTTGAAAATCATCATAATAAAATCCTGGGGGCTGAGGGGGAAAAGCACTCCTTTTAGTAGACTTCAGAAGTTGAAGCCAAGATTGACTAAAAACATGTTTAGTACCAGTAAATTTACTAAGAACTATTTCCAAGAGCACTACATTTTTTAAATGGCCACTGACAATTCTGACATTTCAAAAAAGGGATGTCTGGTTTTCTTTGGAAGGGCACCTAAGAAATAAGGGCCAGTGAAGTAGAGAAGAAACTAGGATTAAGTCTTAAGAGTTTCACTCTGAGCCCTTTTGCACTGTTTTATAATACTCACCTACCATTTATTAAACAAGTATACTGACACTGTAAGGTTGCCTATCAACTGTCTTTAAAAGAACTGAGAGAATGAGTAACAGCAGTTTGCACAGGGACTCTCTGTTGGACCATGAGACAGTCCCCAAAACACACTGGCCTGTGTTTTATCCCACTGTGATTCCAGCTCTCTTGTTCTTTTCCAGTAGCTATGAAAGACGCTACTAAGTAAAAACTAAACTAGCCCAGAATAAGGAAACCAGAGCCCAAACCACTCATGAACTAGAAATGCAATACTAGGTCTCCTTACCTATGAAATTAGGAAACTGGATGAGATTATCAAGCAAAAAGATCTTTCAGCTCCAAAATTCTATTAGACTACTATTCCAACGACAGTATACAAATTCAATCAGTGATGCCATGCAGGCATCAAAAGGGACTGCAATTCATGATTACTGGATTAGTTCTGTGCACATTTCTAAGCATCAACTGACTGGAATCACAATTTCTGAAGAAGCAAAAAAGCTGTATTTCAGAAACCTATGAAGAGTTTGTTTGGTTTCTTTGTTCTAAGATCCAGCTAGCAAAGATACTACTCAGATCACCAACTCTAAAGGGCTTCCTGCCAAAACTCCAGATCCTAATCCTAGACAGTTTCACCACCCCTTAGGGCTAATCAGAAATCGAACAGGGAAAGAGAGTAGGGTGCAAGAACCCACAAGACAGCTTGTTTGAGATAAGTGAGTTGGACAATTTGTGGGAAAGGATGAAAAGTTGCAAGGTATCAGGTCTTATGATGTAAAGCTGAGGATGTTAAGTTCAATAGGAAAACACCAACAAAGTTTAGAAAACCAAATTATATAATCAGAATCGCTGAAGACTAATGTGAAAGATGGATTTGAGGCAGGGAAACCTTTGGAAGAATACCTAAGAAACAAAAGCCTCTGAGCAAGAAGAACTAAGAGAGTATTATATTTTTACTGTGAGCACTTTCCTTTACAAAAAAAAAAAAAAAAAGCTTAGAGGAGAGGAGACAGAGATGATTCTTGGGTTTCTAAACGAGGCAGCAGAATGAAAAGGCAGGAAAAGATTAGACATGCATAACTTAATGTGTCTATGGACTCAGTAGAGCAGAGACATGGGAAGGAGGCAGTTGGA